ATCTATCGTCCTTATCTCCCCTTTTCCTTTTTTATGTTTGTTACTCTCTTGTAACACCTCTAATCTTCTAGTGCTCATATGACCTTATGCAGTTGCGAGCTCCGTAAAACCTCTATTAAATCTATCTAACACTGATGTATGTGGTGTAGCACTTTAGTAGCGTTTCGCTGTTTTACCCAGGTGACCCTTTGATTACATCATGTATGGGAAGGTTTATATTTATATTCGAATACGTGAAAAAGTGTCTGAAGAAGTTAATGAGGATGTGATGGACGGACAGGATCACCAACGAGGAAGTACATATTACGAAGAACGAGGCAGAGCCCAGTCAGAGATGAGGTGGGAAGAAGGCGTTGGCGATGGATTGGACACACTTTCAGGAAGTCAAGCAGCTGCATAACAAGGAAAGTGTTAGATTGGAATCCACAGGGTAAAAGATCAAGGGGAAGACCTCGGGGAACCTGGAGAAGAGTTACGGAAATGGATGTACGGAAAAGTGGGAAGACGGGGAGTGACATCAAGCGACTAGCCCAGGATAAGGAAAGGTGGAAAGTGTTTTTTCGTGGCCTATATCCTGATCCAGGGCGAGAAAGAAAATGAAGATGACTTGCATCTCTATCTGTACTCTGGGACATTGTACCTTGTAGGCTGTCCCTCTCAGTCTAGGTTGGCGTTGACTGATCGCGTCGAAGCTGCCCACTTTCAAAATGTTTAATTAAGTTAACAAAGGTGAAATCATCTTGGCCTACAATTTCATTTTTTAAAAAGAAAGTCTTAAAAGACAGGAAGTTAACTGTGATCCGCAGCAATTCATTATGGTCAGGGGTTGTGTTGTTCCTCTGAGAGTGAGCCTTGCAAAGAATCGATGTCAAAATGTGTAAATTACCTAAAGGTATAGCCAATCCTGCTCCAGCGACTAGCTGGCCAAGACAATCACTTGTGTGAACGAGCTTTTTTCTTTCTGTTTTCAACATTAAGAATTTGAACTTAAAGTCTAAGTTGGACAAAATTATTCTTGGGCACATGCAACCTATACTGCAGATTAAGAAACTGCAATAAAAATGTTGGGCTTCATACATTTTAACTACCGGTCAAAGAAAAAAATGCGCTTTTGATTCAGGGGAGGCAACAGCGAATACCCGCTTGTTCCAACTACACGCAATTCAAATACTCAATTAAGCCCCTTGAATGAACACACCCTGGATGTCTCTTACCCTGACATGGACAAACTACTGCCTGTGGGCAAGATACGGTCTTAAAACTGAAAGCGCCAGTTACGCTCAGTGGTAAATCGTATAAATTCCATCGTATACGAGAACTTTTTCTTTTTAATCGAAGTGTGTATTCTGCTAACAATTTCCATTATTATCGTCCTGTCCTATTCTCTTTCGATTGGGGAGACTCCTCCTCCTTGTGCAGGAAAGTCGTCATGACTCGTCGCTACGACAGCTGTTTTCCTTTCGTCGTTGGCGCTTCTCAGCCTGGTTGTTTTTAAGGCTGCTCTCTAGCATTATAGTTCTTTCCTTTTTCATTTTCCTCCATGTTTTCCTGTCCTCAGCTATTTCTTCCCAGATGCTAACATCTACTCCAAGCTTAGATAAGCTGTTTTTGCACGTTTCTTTGTACCTCAATTTTGGTTTTCCTCTTGATCTCTTTCCCGTGGCAAGTTCTCCTTAGAGAAGTTGCTTCGGAATCCGGTTGTCGTACATTCTCTTGACATGCCCCAGCCATCTCAATCTTTTTAAACACAGGAAATTTGTCATGCTCTGGAGGTTTGCCCGTGCCAACACTTCGTCATTTATTGTAACCTTGTCACGCCACGAAATGCCTAAGATCTTGCGGCAGCATATGAAATGGAAAATGTCAAGGCGCATTTCTTGCTTGCTGTACAAGGTCCATGTTTCAGATCCATAAAGGAGTGTGCTGAGGACACATGCTTAGTAAATCTTGATTTTTGTTTTGATGGTTACTCTTTTGTTTTCCCATGCTCGTTTTGTCAGTCAGCCTTCCAAAAGTTGTTGCTTCTTTCGCTATCCAGATTTGACCTCATAATCAAGTGATGTAGTAGAGCTGATGGTAGACCCCAGGTAACAGAACTTGTCCACTGTCTCAAGTTCCTTGTCGTTCAGCCACATATGGTTCTGCTCTGCTCCTTCTTGAGTAAGGATGCCTGTTTTCTTAACACTGATGACCAAGCTAAAGACCTTCCATGCTGTTGATAGGAGGTCCATCATTGTTTGTAGGGTTTATTCACTGTGAGCAACAAGAGCTGCATCATCAGCGAAGAGAAGGTCTCCTACTTTTGATTTGTTGATCTTGGTCTTGGCCTGAAGTCGAGCAAGATTGAAGAGCGACCCATCAATTCTCCAGTGGAGGAAGGCATCCCCTGGTTGATTTCCATAGGGTTAGTTTTACTCTTTTTTTGCCTGGTGCTGGATGTAACGCCTGCCTTTCGGTTTTTGTCCTAGCTCCATACACCCATAGAAGCAAACAGACGTGGCGGATCCGCACCTTACTGACTTGGGGCTGCCCAGTTTGAGACGGGCGGTAGCTGATCAGTGCGACTGAATAGTTACACCCATCGTCAAAGGTGACCCGTGGCGACATCCTGTTTCACCAAATAAGGATGTCTTATAACCCGTAAACTGCCACCTCCCGTGTTTTTTCCTTGATTGTCACAACAAGGATGAAGTGTCCTCTCCATAGTCATTTAAATGCTGTGGTTGAGCTGTGAGTCTGATCCGCTGTATTTGCTATTTTACAGCGTTCTCCCTGACAAATTTAAATCTTGACTAAGCTTAACGCCGGGGCCTGACTGTATGGAGAACGTGCCGCGCCCAATTTGCACGAACCCCCTCTCGACTTTGCTGATTTAGTCCAAAGGAGCGACCAGATCAATACATTTGAACCAGTAGAGTTGCAGGGGCTGCCAGGAGATAGTTCGGATCTTTCCTCCCTGCCTTAAGCCCTGGTTACACGCAACGATAAATTGTATCAGATTCGTCATATGAGAGAACTGTCCGTTTTATCGAACTGTCTTGTCTGTTTACATGTTCCAATCTATCATTAAGTTTTCTTTCGATTGAGGAGATTTCTAGTCATAAAGCCACCATGTCTCTTTGCAACGACAGCGATTTGCCTGCACTCTATGTGAAGGTTTCGAGCTCTGGACCTAGTGAATGAAAGGCGAACACTGTACCTCTAGATCACAAGAGCCCCCCCCCCCCCCTTTTCCCTTGTACATTTTGATTTAGCAGAATAGTGTCTTAAAAAAAGGTTGACCATACTGTAGGCCTACCGTGTTGTGTGTAGAACCGGAAACTATGACTTGACTGCAGCAGATGTGCAACGCCTGAAACTTCCGAACAACTTAACTTTTGAATTAAAAAAAATAACGGTGGTTCAGAATCATTTAAAGGGTGCACAGTTATATTAAGGAGTCTGAAGTCACCGTAGTTTAATTTTCAGTTTTTCATTAGTTTCTTTTAGATCTAATCTTGTGAAAGTCATCTTCTAAGACGCCATTGCAAACAAGTGAGGCTTCGGTTCACAAGCAGTGCGCACCGTTTCCACAATGACTTGACGATCGATTCTTTAGAGTCCGTTCATCGAATGAGTACCCAGTTAGTACATATCTATACATATTATATTTGTGAAAGTTTGTCACTTTGGCGCCTGAAACTTCCGAACAACTTAACTTTTGAATTAAAAAAAATAAAAAATAACGGTGGTTCAGAATCATTTAAAGGGTGCACAGTTATATTAAGGAGTCTGAAGTCACCGTAGTTTAATTTTCAGTTTTTCATTAGTTTCGTTTAGATCTAATCTTGGGAAAGTCTGTCTTCTAAGACGCCATAGGGGCTCTCGTGGCCTAGAGGTTAAGGTGTTGGCCTCTCATTCAAAGGTCCCGGGTTCAAATCCGGGTAGCGACCGAAACATTTTCTTCTCTAAAATTGTCTCCTTTCACCCCCTTTCCTGCTCTCTAGCAATGTTCTGTTGTCTGCTTTCGTTTCCACTTTCTACCCCCACCCCTCACCTCCTTTTCCCCTTCCTCTGGGCTCCTGACTCTTTCTGCAGCCTTTCTACTGCTACTCCTTGGCTCATCCTTACTGCTGTCTTTCAGCCACACCCCTGATCTTCTGGTAGTAAAAATGTACACCTAGCCTTCTCGGACAAGGTAAAAAAATCTCGGAGGGCCCGTGCACAAGTTGCGCACGTTAAAGATCCCTTGGTGGTCTAAAATCGATAAGAGTAGGCTTCGGCCGCCACCCGGGCAAAAATTCAAAATTTCCTACCAACTGAAAATATTAGGTGTGTCCCGCGCGTTCATATGACGTTATGCAGTTGCGAGCGCCGTAAAACAATAAGACGCCATTGTAAACAAGTGAAATTTCCGTTCACTAACTGTGTGCACCTTTGAAATTCTGGAGTGTACAACCACGAAATCGGAATAGAGAATGAAACTATACATCTCTATATCTAGACCTTCTTTGCTTGGCACACATACTCACACAGACAAACACATACACACGAATTACACGAATGTGTGAAAAGTAACAAAGACAAGTAGCTAGATATTCGTCTGGGTAGTTGAAGGATGGCACTGGTAGGTCCTACATCTTTTCTCTCCCTACGTTGTCTCTGTCTGTGTGGGTGGTTGGAGGGTGTCACTGGTGGGTCCTATTTCCTTCTTTTCCCTCTTTTCTTTTTGTCTGTGTGGATGGTTTGAGGGTGTCACTGACAGGTCCCTTTTCCCCCCTTTTTTTGGCCCGTGTCCTGATTTTGGTGCAGATATTTGTAGGTTACGTGAAAATGTATTGACATGGTGCAAATTGTATGTTTTAAGAAAATAACCCAAAGAAAAACACTACAGGAAAAAGGGGAATTGTTTAGTTGGTGATGATGATGATCATGATGATGATCATGGTGATGATGATGATGATGATGATGATGATGATGGGATGATGATTATGAGTCACTGGTAGGCCCTACTTCTTTCTTTTCCCTCTGTTGTTTTTGTCTGTGTGGGAGGTTGGATAGTGTTACAGGTAGGCCCTACTTTTTTTCGTTCTCTCTGTTGTTTTTGTCTGTGGTAGGTGTTACTTTTTGTGTATCCTTCACTTAGTCCTCGAAAACATTATCAATTACTTTATTGCGGCGATGACCTTGGCCTCAGTAGCGTCTTTGAACTTCACCTCAGGAGCGGCTCGGACCTTGTCTCCAGTAGCGGCCGTGGCCTTGACCTCAGTAGCCGCTAGCCACAGATGTTTGAGGAGGCGCTTGGAGGTGTTGAGGATGTTGTGGGCGTTGTAGAGGATGGGGTTGATGGCCGAGTTTATGGGCAGCAGGAGTGTAGCCGACCAGACGTAGGCGTCGTAGCCCAGCCGGTAGCCGGAGAGAGAGAGCAGTCCCAGGACAGCTACGGGGAACCAGCACAAGAAGTCCGTAGCCGCCACCAGAAACAGGCGTTTGGTCACCTCCAGGTCCTGCTCTCTCCCCCCCGCCCCCGGCCAGCCGCCCATCCGGCGCGCCATCTGGCGGCGTGTGTCAGCCATGGCTCGATAGATGGACAGCTGGCCCGCGGCCACCAGGAGGAACAGGCCCAGGTTGACGAACACAAACACAGACACAGAGAAGCAGAAACCGGGGACGGACCTGTCGCTCAGAGGCAGACCAAGACAGACGCCGGTGAACGTGTACGTCTGCCAGTGCCGGAACGACGGGACAAACGGCAACAGCGCAATAGACAGACCGAGCAGCCAGGCTAGAGCACACAGCACGTGCACGTAGCGGCCGGAGATCCGGTACTGGCCGAAAGGGAATCTGATGACCAGGTATCTGTCGAGAGTGATGAGCAAGACAAAGAAGATGGAGGTCTCACTGGACAGAGTGGACACACAGCCGGCCAGGTGACACAGCGCGCTCTCCCGCCAGCCAGCCTCGTGCATCAAGTACGCATCCCGGAAGTACAGGTCGGCCGAGGCGATGGTCAGTAGGTACACGCCCATCAGGAAGTCGGCCAGGCTGAGGTGAGCCACGAACTGGCCGTATGCCAGTCTGAGCGAGGACCTGTCCAAGACGAGTCGGTGAGCGACCACCAGTAGATTCCCCGCCACCGCCAGCACACCACTCACCCACAAGAGAGTCCGTGAGGTAAAACCTTCCATTAAGTTGGCACAAGACGAGAACGGATCCGAAGGCGCCAGGCACTCTGTGACCACAACCCGGAGCTGTGGGCAGCAAAGTTTGTAAGAATCGGCCCACAGTTTGTTGATTATCAGCCCAGAGAGGCTGTCCTTCTCTAGGTGTTTGATAGAGTTGAGCCTCAAATCGAGCTGGCTGATTTTTAAACTTTCCGGGAACTGGTGAGCCGTGAGTCGCGTGATCTGAGTGCCTTTCAGATTGAGCGTGTTCAGATTTCTAAACCTCGGGTGGAGCTTAAAAAAAGTAATACCAGTAAAAGACAAATCTAAAACCGCCAACTTTTTAAGCCAGGGAATTTCCACCCGTCTCAAGCAGCGGTTGTGTGAGAGATGAAGGTAACGGACTGAGTCCAGGGCAGAAAACAGTGAAGTGAGGTGTGAGTCTTGCAGAAAATTGTCGCTCAGGTCCAAGTATATGACGGAGGTGAGGTCAGCCCCAGGGCACCAGCCGGAAGTGTCCAGTCGCAGGCTGCTTCCTCTGGCCTCCAGGTGCACCAGGGTCCGCCACTTCCGGCACGTGAAGTTGTAGAAGGCCCGAGACACGTCCACGCCGCTCACGTCCAGGTACCGGGTCCGGCCGTCCACGAAGCCCAGGTCTGTGAGCGGGAGGCTGCTGTCGTAGTCTGTCTTGACCACCGTGCCGGACACGCAGAGAAACCCCGTGCGGCACGTGACGTCACAGTTCTGCTCGTCCTCCCCGGAAGGACAGTCCCTCCGGTTGTCGCAGACGCTAGCCGGGTGTAGACACATCGCAGAGGCCGGACACTGGAACAGGCCGGTGCAGTCCAGCTTCATCAACACCTCGTCCTCTCCGAGAGGACATTGTCCCCTGCCGTCGCTCACGTACTGGACGGGGACACAGTAGGAGCGAGGACATTTCACGTATCCCTCAGGACACACAAAGTCCTCACAGCCCTGGAGATGCCGCAGGTTGGGACAGCCCAGCACGCCGCCGTAAGGATCTTCCAGGAACACACACCTGGGGCCCCAGTTGCTCAAGCCCACCCCGTCGTTTTCCCCGTAGCACGAGCTGGACTCTAGAGCCCCCACCGTCTCGTCAAGGGGACCCTCCGGCCCCGTGCATTGAAGGACCCCGTCTCCCAGCATGGCGCGGGTCACGCAGTCCGTCCGGTTACAGGTGAACACACAGTCCGTGACGCCGTGCCGCGCGGCAATCTCACGCTCCACCACGCGCCCCGCCTCGTGCTCCCCCTCACATCCGGTGCAGTCGTTACGGCCGTCCAGGAACCAGTGCTTGGGCAGACACTCCCCGTTCGGGCACATCCAGTTGGCGCATGCACTGCACATGCCCATCTCGTCACTTCCGTCTGAGCAGTCAGGGAAAAGGTCGCAGGCGAAATCGCTGAGGACGCGCGCGCCGTTTGCACACCGGAAGTAGTCGCCATCATCCTCATCATTTTTGCAAAACTTCTCATCATCTCGCTTCCGGCAGTCTCTTCGGTTATCGCAGACAGACGTGTAAGGAATCAATCGCTTCGAGCCAGAACATGTGAAGAGCCTGAGGTCTTTGTGAGATACAGGCGTAATCTGCGTCTGTCTTTGGTAGACAGAGAAGGACAGGTTATTTCTTGGCAGCTCAGCGTACACTTGCCGGGAGGAGGCGGGATAGAGTGTGTATGGTTTCAAAGATCCCCCATTCTCTACATTGAACGCCACCTCCCCTCTCTGTAGTGCTCGCTTTTTCTGTATCTCACTCACTGGACAAGTCACGCCCACTACTTTTGGCACGGCCACGTTCACCTGAGCCTCACAGATAGGCGCTCCAGAGATGACCTTACCGCATCCCTCACTCTCCCAGTAGCCGGAGCCCCCGCCGGCCGGGCGCCTCCAGTAGGCGCAACCTCCGGTGTGTCTGTGGTAGGGCTGGTCAGTGGCCCAGAGAGAGTGGACAAGGGGCAACCGGTTCAGCCACTCGTGCTCCCTCCGCAGCGACCTCTTGTTCCTCGCGAGGCCGATGAAGAAGTTCTGTTCGTCAGGCGCACTACTGTTGGCCGTCTTCACCAGGTTCATGTGGTGAGACAAAGAGTTCTCCAGAAATGTCAGCTCTTCCACTGTCTCAATTTTCACCAGGGTGGACTTGATGTTCAAACACTGCTGGTTGGCGTCCACCCAGTGACTGTCGGCTCGTGGCAAAATCTTATAGCAGGAAGAAGCCGCTATGGAACCGCTGTGACTGCTCAGGGAGTTGAAGATCCAGCCGCGGTGGCACCTGCGGCAGACGGCGAGAGACAGGTCCTGGTCCGCCATCAGGAATCGGAAGCTGCTCAGAATGACCACAGAGCGCAGGTGGTGCGAGGCGGCGTATACCATGGAGGCCCTGGAGGCGGGAATGTTCTGTCTCACGAAGATGGTCACTATGGTCCTGTTCTGGACAGGTTCCAACTCGGAGAGGAGCGATTTGGCCGTAAAACGATTCATGCCTCGAAACGTAAGCAGGACAATGAGCGAGCGCCGGCCGGGGGCGGAGACGCTGTCTAAATAGTTCATGGCTGCTCTGTACACGTTCTTGGGTTTGGGCAGCAGGCAGGTGGACTGGCGCAGCGTGCTGTTCATGAAGGCGCGTCGGAGAGCCGTCAGCTCGGAGTACTGGCCAAACTCCAACAGAATCTGGAAGTTCTTTTCGTACCGGCTCACGCACGAGAGAGCCAGGGAAACGTTCACGCGCCAGAAGTCGTCTGCTCGTCCGCTACTGAAAACCTCCAAAAACTTGCTGAAGAATTCTATTTGTTTACCGTAAAACTTCCGAAATTTTTTGTCTCCGTTCACGATCAACAAGAGGTCCAGCTGGGAGGAGTAGCAGTCTTCAACAAGTGGCGAGTCGAAATGCCCAGTAGAAGTGTGTACCGGTACCTCAGTCATTCGACCACCCGTGGATGCCGTCCTCAGATCTTCGTTCGCTCTAATCAGCACTGGAAATTGATAAAGACTTATGATAAGGCCTCCGTTCTTAAAAAAAAAAACACACACACACTAAGAACTACCGAGGCCCTTGTCATTGACATGGTACTGGACTGTGAAAAAAAAATCTCCAAAATCATCGTTTGAAGTTGAGACCGATTCCTTGTCTCTTCTCTCTTCTCTCACGTCACTCACTTCACTGACCAATCTTAAATCTTACATTCTCAAACCTAAACGTGTCCCTCACAAATCTTACATCTTATATTCTCAAACGGAAAAAATGTCACTCACCAATCTTAAATCTTACATTCTCAAACCCTGACGTGTCCCTCACCAATCTTAAATCTAATATTCTCAAATCCTAAAATTTCACTCACCAATCTTAAGTTTTACATTCTCAAACTCTTAAATGGTTAAACCATATGCCAGGATACACTCATCGACTGAGCAGGGAAAGCGTGTTGTGCTTACATGGCTACTTAACCCTGTACAGTAGGTATCCGAGGAAACGGGCAGATCGATCTCCTGGCGAAGGAATCCTTTTCCCTTCTGTTGGGATCAACAGAGAACACCCTCTCACATACAGACTTTGAGAAACAAGGTTAAATTATAGACTTCAACATAAGTAAAGAACCATTTGCAAACACTCTGACTGGTCTTCTTGGGTCGACCTGCACGTGTGCATTCTTGGACCGATCCAGTGGCTTGATGGAGCTGCCTCAAGTGGACAATGACAGAGTGTGACACTTCAAGTCTTCTGGCAACTTCTCGGGCTCCAAGTTCATCCTGCAGCCATGTCATAGCTCTTGCACGATCAAAGTCTCCCAGCTTCCGTCTTCGGCGGCATATTAATTGCTATATTGGATTTTACGCAAACGGCGGTTTATATTGACACAAAAGTGAGCACATTTCAAGACCCTGCGTCCATTTATCACGTGCACCAGAAATTTTAACTGAGGAATATCCGTGGTTCCGCACACAAGTAAGCAAAAAACAGCAACTTTGGCTAAAATTCCACAAGGATTTCCGTGCTGCACGTGGTGGCTTTGCCCCTTTAGGAAGCTTTGCAGTACCCATTGGTGACCCATGAACACTTTTGGTCGGATCTTTTTAAAAATCAGGGCTGTCTGTCAAGGTGCTCCTTAACTTACGTTGAAGTCTGTACTACACCTCCAGTCTGTGGGAGGAACACTGAACCGAACAAACAAGGAACAAACGCCACAAAAATATCCCGCCCAATTTAGTCCCACGAAAACCTTTGAAATCATTTTTACGGAATTACACATTAAACATTGCCACAGCTCTCTGAAACATTGAACGTTGTCATACCCCCATAACACATTGATACCACCTGCAAGGGGATGATGAACCTGATAAATTTAGTGTGGAGTGCGATATCGACTTAACGAACAGGCACCTCGTGATTGAATGTCAGGACTTGAGAGAGCCCCGAAGACATTATATATTTCAAATACAATAATTGAAGAGAATCATTTAATTCTGTTCTCTATCGTTGATCCCAACAGACTTCTTGATTTATTTATATGAATAGAACACTGGCCTTTACGCCTAAATGTAGACAGTACTATTTTAGTATTTTTAGACACGTCATTGACTATTTCAGCCACTAAAAATTACGACCGTGAGTTTTTAATCTTCTACAAATCCGACGTTACACTGTAAGAGCAGGCTGTGCTGTGAACTAACGTTGAAACAGTCATCTCAGCCCCGCACGCTCATCATTATGACTTTATACAGCTGCAAGCGATGTAAAACTCTTACAAAACAAAAGGAAAAAACCCCCAACATATTATGATCTTATAAATAAAGTTGATAAAGATTAATTTCATGATTGTATAGTCAAAGTTGAAAAAGAGTTATTAGAATCTAACGTATACAGGATAGGGATTTATGATCGTGTAAATAAGGTTGATAAAGATTTAAGATGGCTTTCATGAATAAAATAGATGGGGATTTATGATCTTTGAGCTTCTCAAAATTCAAATTTCCAAATTATTCCTCCCTCCCTACTCTCTTTACACTGTTAAAATCCCATCTTCCTCTGAGTGACCTACCATACAAATAATAATAATAATCAGCTCTTGACCTGATGACATCGTAGGTTATCTCTAACAAATGTCACCAGAACGGGGACAGAGCCCACCACTTTGGCAAAGTTTCGGTGACAAATTAATGTTAGTTCCATTCGGACCTGGGCAGTGGATACCCACCAGTTGACTCAAGGGAGCCGAAGAAGATAGGACTAACAATTAAATTACTAATACTAACGATAGTGTTTCTTTCTCGTAATCCTTTTAGGATCTTCTACTTCTAATGTTTATTCACATCTGTGCCGTAACGCTATCATCCCCATCACCATCAGCACCACAACATCATGAACACGCATGCATCCGTCCCTACTAGATCTATATGGAAGTAGAATACAATTGTAGTGTTCTCAACAACAAGACTTTGATTCCTGTTCTGTATCTACTCCCCACGTGTGGGATTTCTGTCAGTCTTTAATCGAAGGAGGAAGTGAATCGGTACAAGATGAAGTGACAGTGTACAGTCTAACATCTACAAAACTAACCTTATCATATGCCTGTGTTGACTATAGCTAACAGAACAGTAACAGTGACCAGTCTATAGATAACGGTAACAGTGAACAGTGTATAGCTAACAGCAACAGTGACCAGTGTATAGCTAAGGGTAACAGTGACCAGTCTATAGCTAACGGTAACAGTAACAGTGACCAGTGTATAGCTAACGGAAACAGTAACAGTGACCAGTCTACAGCTAACGGTAACAGTAACAGTGACCAGTGTATAGCTAACAGTAACAGTGAC